AACCTGTGAGACGATCCATTTCCAGCCGGCCTCGTACTTCTTCGCGGCGACTCTGCTCAACGCCTGCCATAGAATGTCATCTTTCTCATCCCAGGGTTTTTGATCCTTGTCTGCTTTGTGTCTGCGAACGTATCCTTCCAGGACCATCCTAGCCTCCAGTGTATCAAACACGTTTTTCGGGTCTGTTGCGGACGAACGGTCAACAAGCCAGACAACGTTGTGGGCAATCGCAGGTTACCTTTTTTTTCAGAAGTCTTGGCCGTGGCATCCTTGACTTCCCGCAGGTGGATTTGCATCATGTGGTCGCTAAACTCCCTCCAGGTCATCTCTCCCATCCAAAGCTGCTTTGCGAGCACCCAGACCTGCTTACGTTCGGGTATGGGAACAGCTGCGACGATGGTGAGGAGAGAGTTCAGGTCTTGCATGAACTGCCAAAAGTGCGAGTATGGCGGATTTTCTCTGAGGACATAGAATAATAAGTCCATAGGCATCTCCCAAAACGAGTTGCCTGGAAAGTGCAGTGTGATCAGCAGTGGGATGTAGTAGCATGGAACGAAGATCCCACCTTTTGCGACCCAATTCCACTGTTTTTCACTCCAGAAATACGGCGCAGGTTTGTGACCCTCATGCCATCTTTCCGGTAACCTCGCGTGATCATCATACTGAGTCTGAAAGTAACAGTCGGGTTTTCTCCAGGCTGCGAGTGCATCGCGCTTCAGCGTTCTTTCAAATACCTCGTCGAGCCCCTTGATCTCGCCTTCAAACCATTCCTCCAGGTCATCGGGGGGAGACAACAAGGTCTTGCCCTCTTTGTCCATGTTCCAACCCCCCTCTGCATTTCCATCTTTAGTTAGATGAGGTGATAGCGCGACCCAAGAAAGATCAACTCGCCGAAAAAAGCTTGGTTTTGGGGACTGACGGGATCGGCGTTGAGGAACCTGGCTCCTGTGCCGACGACTTTGTCGTATGTGGTGTTGAACCAATCACGGTACCAGCGAATTTTCCACTCATCGAGAATGCGAACTCTCTCTTGCCCAGGTGTCGCAGTTTTATGCGATAAACTAACCATTTCGTCGACCGCCAGCAGTCTTGCAAGTGTGTGTTGTGCGACCATTGCCCCGCAGTTCCGACGAAGCATCGCGACCTCATTGTTTTGTGGCTCCTCCCCAGCCCACATCCTCCACATCTGGGTGTAGAGGATTATGCAGTATGATAAGTCCAGCCATACTTGCTGGTATCGCATGGGGAGTGGGATGTACCCTATCAGATGCTTGCCCTCCATAACGGGCACCCGACAGGTTTGGACGCTCTCCTTGGTCTTGCTGTCGACGAGATTGATCTTTTCTGGGGGGCGGTATGTTGTCCCAGCTGCTGTCTTGTCGATGACGCACTCTGCGTTGACCGTAGGGATTAAAAACGATGTGATTGGATGCGCCAATAGTACTCTTCCTGCTCTGCTCTTCCCACCCTTGGTTGGCTCTGCACCATCGGCATTTTTGTTTTTCGTATCAATGCGTTTGTGACTCAATTATAACAACTCAAACTTTACCTGCAGCGTTCACGCGAGACATCTTTAACGATTCGCACAAAAGGTCCCAAGGAAATCAGCAGCAGAAAGCAGAAAGCAGGTTATTGGAAAGCCAGCGCCTATATATATCATATTTGTCAGTGTGTGGATTGTTCGAGAATATGAAGCTCTGTCTCAATTTGGCAATAGATCGCACGGTTATTTCCAAGATCGAAACAAGTTTGTTGTTGTATTTGTGTTTGTTTGGTTATGGTTGATCTTTTTTTTTATCGATTGTCTCTCTTCTCTCTTTCTCTTTGTTCCTCCTACCCAACTACCTAGCGCGCGCCTGCCTGTAGCGGCGGGGTGCGTCTTGATTATTTGAGAGTCGCGCTAGGTGGGGTGGCGCTCCCTCCGCCCCGTACGGGCAGAGCATTCTTGGGTTGTAATGCCTAGGAGGAGTCGCTGCTGGACTTGGATTCCCTCATCGATCATCTAAACTCTTTTTTTTTTTTTTTTTTTTTTTTTTTTTGGTTCCCACCCAACTACCTAGCGCGCGGCTGCCTGTAGTGGTGGGTTCGTCTTCATTATTCGAGGGTCGCGCTAGGGGGGTACAACTCACGAGCTCTTTGATTTTGTTTGGTAGTGGGAACCCCGAAGTTAAAGTGTTTGGGGAATCCCATTTCCCCGCGTTCTTCTTCCCCCGTGGCTTGTGCCGCCGCCGCCGCCGCCTTCCTCTAGTGACTGAGAGCCCGTGGATTCAGGTCGCTGCTTTTCGCAAATGGTATTCTCACTGTTTTCTCTACAGGCTTACTATGCTCCCGAGGTTGTGCTAGGTACCAGCGGTAAGCTTGACTTCGCTCTCGTTTTTCAGTAACTTATGTTCACTCGGAGCAGGAAAAGGTGTAAGACCAAGGCAATCGCTGCCGCCGACGGAGCTTTGTATTGGGTCCACCGCCCTCCTGTATCTCTCTCCTTGTCTTGTTTCTTTGTCTCTCTTCCCATCATACTGCTATGCTTTCACTTTGTGTGTCTTGCTTTTGTCCTAGTTTTCATGTCACTAGATTACAGCAATAATACAAGTGAATGCAAGCAATTTTCGATACATTCTCAAGCCTACTGAAAATTTTCAACGATGTATTCGGTTCCGAGCAGGGGGAGACATAGATCCGCATGGCAACCAAGTCAAAATGATTTCCTAAGGGTGCCCTAAGGATTGATGACACGTTCCTCCAAGATCGCTTCAAGGATCAGCTTATGAATAAGGCAGCCCCCTTATAGGAGCCCCGCTTATATTTAAGGATCTTTCCTTGTTTAAATTCAACTCGGTACCGCATATCAGTCCCCGCCAACCCTGTTGCGCCCAATCCATGTGATCGATTTTTTTTTTTTCCATCCTCATAGGAATGGGAGGCGATCCTACTAACGCATTTAGGATTGATGTCTGCCTCGCCCTCAATACGATCGGTGACCGTCCGTCCCCATAGGCTTTACTATATACAATTGGGTTTGGTGTATTTTTTTCTTCCTTCTGGGTGGCTGGCAATCTGCTGCTGCGTGCTCAAAAAAATGCCAGCATGGGAAAGGCAGGTCTAGGCACCCGCATTCTGTCATGAGGAACAAATGTACGTATATTTGCACAGGAGGTCAGATCTTACCACCCCTTCCATGAGGAACTTGAGGCTTGAACGACCGTCCATTTCCACTACTTCGGTGATCTCAGTAGTCAGAGCGCCTTTCGGTTGCTCCATCAGGGAAGAAAAGGGAATCGACCATTCTGCTTCGATTGTTTCGATTTTTGAGTTTGGTACTGTATAGTTTGGTAATGCTACCCAGTTGCGATTGCAGATGGGTATTTATGTAAATTTAATATGGTCATTTCAGAAATAGATTTCAAACTTGTGAAAATAATTCTTTTTGTGGGCTGGTACATATCTTAGAGGGTACTTCCAGGAATGATATGAGCCAAGAATTACAGAAAACGGCGGTTGGGATGTGGAGATATGGTCAAAATACTGACTTTTTGGCCCTACCACCATATGTCACCAGTAATGATCTCCAGATACTCTGGGACCATCACCAATCGATTTCCAAGCTTGAAAAACCCCAGGACAGCCCTTTACGGTATCGGGTTTAAGTTAAAATCAAGTACAGCAAAATATAGGAGGTAGGAGGGAGGAGGAGGACCTTGTATATCTCAAGAATGCGATTTTTTCTGGGAATTCTGGCTCGACCATCGTGTTCAGAGGGATCAAGAGCCCCCAGGAAAAATGCTTTTGGAGCACTGGCAAGTCATGTGAAGTCTGTAAAATCGATCTTTGTGGGGGGTATGAGGCAAACTGACCTATTTTATTTCAAACAGGCTAGAAATACTCTGGGATCATCTCCAATCGATTTCTGTGATCATAAAACACTAGGAACATCCTTTGATATATCGGTATTTACATAATATCAAGATATATGAGATAGGAGGGGGGAGGGGGACCTAGCATATCTCAAGAACCTGATTTTTTCTGGCAAATCTGGCTTGACCATCGTGTTCAGGGGGATCGAGAACCCCCAGGAAAAATGCTTTTGGAGCACCAGCAAGTCATGGGAAGTCTGTAAAAATCGATCTTTGTAGGGGGGTATGAGGCAAATTGACATATTTCAATTCAGATAGGCCGGGAATACTCCAGGATCATTTCCAATCACTTTCTGTGATCATAAAACACTAGGAACATCCTTTTGCATCTCAGTCTTCACACAATATCAAGATATATGAGATAGGAGGGGGAGAGAGACCTTGCATATCTCAAGAACATGATTTTTGCTGGCAAATCTGGCTTGACCATCGTGTTCAGATGGATCAAAAACCACCAGGAAGAATACTATTTAAGGACTGACAAGTCATGGGAAGCCTAGAAAAATCGATCTTTGTGGGGGGTATCAGGCCAACTGACACATCACAATTCACATGGGCCCAGATGACTCCGATACCATCTCCAATCAATTAACATGGTCCAAAAACACTAGGAGCATTCTTTTATACATCAGTATTGACATGGAATCATGCCTCTGGGCACAGTAGCTAGGGGGAGGGGGTAGCATCACTATGGAATATGATTTTTTCGGACCAAACCAGTGTTGCCATCTGATTCAGATGGCTCAATAACCCCAGAAACAAGTTCTATTTGAAGCCAAGCAAGTCATATGAAAGCTCAAAAAATCAATCATTGGGTGAGGCAGCATCACACTGCTTACATAAGCAAAAGCGGTCAACTTGACCATAGGTGAGCAACTTTACAACAACATGACTTTGACATATCAAATTGTTGTTCCTACTGGTCTGTGTCTTCAGAAATAAGCCTGAGATCCAGCCATGCAAGTCATACAAAGGCTGAAAAAATCGACTTTGGGTGAAGGCCTCAGCACAAGAGTACTTGATAGCTCATCACTTTGGAACATGATTTTTGCGCACCAAACAAATCCTGCTGTCAGATTCAGGAGGCTTTATAACTTCTAGAACAAGTCCTATCTTGAGTCAGGCAGGTCATGTGAAGGCTGAAAAAAAATCGATCTTAGAGGGTGAGGCAGCATGACAGGGGTGTTCAACTTTTGAACATGATTTTTACACAAGAAATGGGCCTGCCCGTTCAATTTAGATGGCTCAATAACCTCAGAAACAAGTTCAAGATCAAGCCTTGTGAGTCATATGAAGTCTAGAAAAATCGCTCTTGGAGGGAAAGGCAGCATGACAAGGGTGGTCGACTTTGGAACATGATTTTTTGGACAAACTGAGAATTACCAGTGCGTTCAGAGGGCTTCATAATCTTATGAAAGAGTCCTAGTTAAAGTCAGACAAGACAGATGAAGGCTGAAAAACTCGAGCTTGGAGGGAGGCATCATGACAGGGGTAGTGAAGACAGCACTGGAGATGTTCAAGGTCAATCAGTCTCAAAAGAGAGAAGAAAGAGGTGGATGTCTGCCACATTCTATATTCTTCCCATTGTATTGCCTTTGAATCTCATCATAGAATAATTGGAGCCAAATCACAAGGATTTAGGGTGACATACCCATGACTATACCTATGACCGTATCTACACCCACATGGTGGCCTGAAGCGCTGCATTGTCTGTGGATCCATCCTCTCGTTTGTGCTATAGTAGTATGTAGGGTGTCAGAGGAAGTCTAGCAAGTATTATCATTGATCACTGTATTATTCAGCCTAAAGGTAAGATAAATCTCATGTCTATGAAATTTCTACTTCTAATAATGAGCCAGAATGTGCAATGCCATCATGTTTCTTCCTCTCACTTTACCTGACACTGCTTATATATGCAAATATGCGAAATTTCATCAAGTTTATTCCAATGACAATATGTGGTCTTGTTTGACACTGATTATGTAAGCAAAAATGCGGTCAACTTGAACCAAAAATTTTCTCTTTCTTTCTTCTCACTCACTCACTCACTCACTTACTTACTTACTTACTCATTAGATCCTGTCACTATCTTTACTTTTTACTTTTTACTTTACTTATGAACCTGGGGCTTATGTTGGTGTCACCCTCCATGAGGGTCCTACCATTGATTATGGTGCCAACATTTTTCGCTTCTGAGGGTTTTTTTACTTGTTACTTTACTTTACTTTGGGACTGGAAGCTTTTGTTGGTCTCACCCTTCTATGGGGGTAACACCATTGATTATGGTGCCAGCATATTTCGCTTCTGGGCTCTTTTTTTTACTTTTTACTTTACTGATGGACCTGGGGACTTATGTTGGTGTCACCTTCCATGAGGGTCCTACCATTGATTATGGTGCCAACAAATTTTGGTTCTGGGGGCTTTTTTTACTTTACTTTATTTGTGAACCTGAGAGCTTTTGTTGGTCTCACCCTTCTATGGGGGTATCACCATTGATTATGGTGCCAGCATATTTCGCTTCTGGGCTCTTTTTTTTTTACTTTTTACTTTACTGATGAACCTGGGGACTTATGTTGGTGTCGCCCTCCATGAGGGTCCTACCATTGATTATGGTGCCAACAAATTTGGATTCTGGGGGCTTTTTTTACTTTACTTTACTT